TTGAGCTCCTTTACTTCTCACTCAGTAGTGCAAGAATCTTTTTCAGAGCAGATAAAACTGCAGCAGAAGAAAACCAGGAAAAGAAAGAAAAAGAAGGTGAGTGAATGCTATACATAGAACATCTTGGTAGGGATGGTGCTTTCTTGCTTTTCTTGCTTTTGATTCAGTATTCCAGAAGGAGTTTTACAGGGTTTAAGGGTGATTTGAGGAATAAAGAACAGCTCACGGAGGCTGCCTTTGGAATGGGTGCATTTCAAGCTGGATTTGGGGGTGTGGAGGGGAGAACAACATGACCACAAAAGCCCCAAAAAACCCAACCAACCCCCAAAACTCTGGGACAGGGAGAATTGCATGCTTGGAGTTAATATTAAATTCAGTAACTTCAACATCATACTTAACCTCTTAATTACTAATTTTGACAGTGACAGCGTTTTCTGCACAACCTTAGCTGGTGTGAAATAAACTTGGTGGTTTATTTCACTATGAACCTGGTGTTGAAATAAGGTAGTTTTCACCTGTTATGTAACAGCTGTTTCTCAACTTCTGTAGGCAGATGATGCAGATACTATAAGTGACTTTCAGATGTTTATGGTATATTTTGGTCTACCATTGAATTATATTCAAAGAGTAAAATCTTAGTTTGTGGGATAGTCTCTTGACTAGATAAAATGAGTGCTGGAATGATCAAGATACAGATGTGCAGCTCAGTCACAAGTGATTTATAAGATGAGGTAGCAGTATATTAAAAATGGAATTGGTAAATAATTTTCCACTGTAGTTCTGACAAAAGTGTAAGTGACCTGTGAGATTACAGTCACTGGAGCCAAAGATCAGTTTTCTTCTGTACTGGGAAAACAGTTTGTAAAGAAAGATGTCTTTTAGCTTGAATTTACATTAGATCATACTCAGTGAAGTTGCTCAAATAGTGGTTCAACTCAAAAAGAAGTAAAACTCAACTGCAAGCATTGTGGTGGGTAAGAGCAGACATACTACCCTGACTTCTTTATGAGAGCATTGTGTAAATTACTTAATTTTAGGTTAAATATTCACCGTTGTGATAAATATTCAGTTCCCCAAAAATGTTTTGTGGTGAGAAAAGCTTGAAATGTATACCAGGGTGAAAAGTTTTGAACATGGCAATATCTTTGCCTTCTACCATAATATTTGGGCTTGGACTGTGCAAGATGTGTGAGCATGTGTACGTATTCTTTACACAAGCTCTGCTGATGGGAGAAACCTTTCACTCCATGTGCTGACCATGGTGTTATCAAGTGTGTTAGGACATCAGTGTAATATAGATACGACTTTGTTTTTACTGCCTTGAATAAAATGATAAAACATGATCCAGGGCTTCATTTTCTGTTTCTTTTTTTTATTTTGTAGAAGAATCTGTTAAAAGCAGCAACGGCGAGCTCCCCAACTCGATGCCTGCAGATCCCGTTGTGAAATGATGTGGCTGGTATGGGTGATGATTACTTACTCAAATAATTCATGTTCTCATCATCAGTAACACTCTGTAGGGGTTAAAAGCTCTAGATTTGATTTACTTGCTCTGTTAAACCCAAGAGAAAACGTACAGTAGTATACTAGCATTCAGTGAGGCTAGGTCTGTGTTTGTCCGTATTTCCTAGAGGAACTCCTATTTTTCAGGAGTTTACATTATTTACAGCACTTTTCTTTAGATGAAAATAATGATATAAAATGTTGTCCCTGGAGGTAGTTAAAGTGCAGATTAAAAACTTACTAATTTTTAGATGCATTCTTGCATCTCTAACATAGTATTAAAAAAAACCTCATAGGCCACTGGTCTAAGGTTTGAACTGATGCATCTCTTCAACCAGCAAAAAACTGAACCAAGCTATTGTGCATATCAGTTGTCCAAGAAAAGAATTCAGATGTATTTTTATGCAGTCCTGTTGTATTTAGTGCAGTCACAGATTACACTGTAGATGTAATGGTGTATGTTGTGAATGCATGTTAGTTATCACACAAAATGGAAGTCCTCCTTAATGTTTTATTCAACAAACCCTTATTACTACTACAGAGAGTATTTGCATTGTGGGAACTGAAGATCCTGTCAGGCATTTATTTATCCCTGCTGGTTTTTAACTCTCAGATCAGAGAAAGGGGAAACCCAGAAAAGTTAATGTAGTAAATTACTTTTCATTTCATACCCAAGGTCTGATTTGCATCCACAGAAGTAAGGAAATCCAGAGCCAAGACAGAACCACAATCAGCTCTTCCTTTTATGACCAGGCACTGTGTGATGGGTGTCTGTAACTATTAAGTGATCTTACAGTTCATGAATATGTTGTGCCTAATAGCAAGTTTCAGCCTCAATGCTGTATTTCCTGGCCTGTGTAGGCTTGTTGTACCGTCCGTGTTGTTCATACAGTCTTACATGCCTGATTGTTAACAATAATTGCACTGCAGGCTTCAGAAGCTGCTGAACACTGTGAGAACTCTGTATAAATGTAACATCCATTAATGCCTGCAAGTAGAGGTTTTAGACTGTGCAAGAGTTACTCAGATTCCTAACTTCAGTAAGTAGCTAGACTTAGCTTAAAAGTAAACCCCACTCTCATTAAAAGATAGGGTTGTGTTTTGATCTCCCAGAACATAAAAGAACTTCTGGGTCTTACGAACTAGAATAAACTATTCCAGTCAGTCCAACGGAGAATAAGTTTTTGGGGGTTTTGTTTTTGGCACTCTTACTGTAGTTTTAGACCATCCATGCCAGCTTCTTTCATCTCTTCACATTACAAAAAAAGTGATGTTTTAGTGGTTCAAATTGTTTCACCCACCCTGGGTCACTAGCTAAGACAATTCCTGTTGTAATTCTGATTTGCCCTTTTCTGCCACTCCCTCTGATGTTCAGAAAACTAGGACAGATGTTTTGTTGCAACTGGAAAGACCAGACTGATGCTAAAGTCCTTTTTTGTCCTGGAAACATGACACAGAAGCTTCATGGACTGTATAAATCAGCTGGACTCATCACAAGTTTTAATTCATTCTCAGTGCAGAGACTGCCCTAAAGAATGCTGCATCACTTGAGTTATAATTTTTGCTTTCTTATTTTGATACAGGTATTTTTGTAATTTGTGTACATTTCTTTTTGCCCAAATTGTGCCCACACTGAACACTCAGCTGCTGCTGCTCATTCCTATCCTTTTGCAACTGCAGCGTGTGTGTTTCCATATTCGTATCTCAGCAGAAGTCCCAGGAGTTCTTGGCTTGCAATGGCCAAGCACTGCATTTCTTTCAGCAGCTGCAGAATCATGCATAAATGGTGTTCAGTCCCCCCTGGGTGCACTTGCTAGGTAGATATGCACAGTCAAGACATTACCTGCACTCTGATAAAATCTACTTTTCCCTCCTTCTAGATAGGAGACTATCTTTTGGAAAGACACTGTCTCGGATAGGAAATACACTGCAGTTGAACATGAAATGGACTGTGCATTTTCTCAACAAACTGCTGTGGTTCTAGTGATAGCAGTTCTGCAGGCAAAACATAAGCCTATTTTTATAGAATCCTGTTTAATCTGGGAGACCCGAATGTGTACTATATGTGGCAGAAATATATACATACACACAAATATGTACAGTGATAGTAGAGCTATTCTTGCTAATACAGGATTGTAGTTTATATTTCCTCCTTTGTCATGTAGCAGCATATAATTTTCCTCAACTGAAATACAAAGTGGGTCCTGGATTTGGATGTGTCACACACCCCTCTGTCAGCAAGAGGCACATTAAATCCTTTTTCCTTTCCACAAGGAGCTGGAAGGGGGTGCAAAGGTCTTGCTTGTGGTGCTACTACTATTCTCATTGCTTTTGCCCTCCTGTTCTGATTATGAGAACAAAACAGATCCTGGGCTGGAGATGAGACTGTGGAGCTAAAACAAAAAGATCCCCCAAACTAAACTGAATGCTCTCACTCAAAATTCCCAGAGGGAATTTATCTGGGATAAATTCCAGATAAAAGGAAAGTGAGGATGATGAGTTTGCTCCAGGGACATAATGCAGGTCTCTAGGTGTTTTCCTTCAAGACAGGTCCAAACTAGGCTGAAGTGTGGCTGCCCTCATGTGCTCAGTCTTGTGTCAAGCAGTAGCAGCTGCTGTGCCAGAGGTATCGCAACCAGCTTCTGGTATGGCACTGTGCCCTTTTATGCCAGAAGGCAGGGGGCTGCCTTGCTGGTCCTCCTCGCAGCATGGTGGTAAGGCAGAGTGGAGCCAGCTGATGCCTCACTCAGTCCCAAAGTCAAAAGGCATTTGCAGTGAGTGGTCTCTCAGTGATGGTCCCAGTGGCACCCAACTGCTGTGAGGTGCTGAAGGGTAGATTCTGTAATTGGAAGTAAATTTGAGTTTTCATCTGACATCCATTAACAACAGCTGTTTTCAGCTTCTCAGGTACAAAGGACCAAATGTAACACTTAATGTTTCCTAACTCAGTGTACAAAAGGGTATTTTGTTACCTCTGTCTCTTTGGTTTGTGAGTAGAGAACATTATGTATATAAAACTGTGTTAATAAATGCAATTTTGAGAACCTCATTCCCAGTGTCTTCAGTAACATCAGTTCAGGTGTTTATTTTTAATAAGACAGCTTCAACTTTTATGAAGTTTTTGTCAGTTACCAACAGTTTTCTTCCATGGTTGTTTTAAACATTCAGCAACTAGCTAAACTGAATTTATTCCATGTCAAACACTTGCAAACTTGGATCTTTCAGATGCTGCTTACAGAAAATCTAGTTTCTGATTAAGTGACCGAGTTAAATTAAGTTCAAGGAATTTCAGTCATTTGTTCTGGTTACCTTATCTTAATTAATACAACCTTCTGGCACTGATTATATCCCCCCAATACCAAATGTTTGTTCTTGCAGAGTACCATTTCTCATGTTTTCAGGTTAAACAGGAAGGGGGGAATAAAGTGAACTTACTAGCCAAATCTAATTTCAAGAAGATTAGAATAAACTCAAATAGACTATGAGACTTGTCAATATATTGTAGACTTACAATCTAGCATTTTATTACTCAGTTTCTCAAAACCAAATATTGCTGGTAGATTCAGCTGTTGCGTATCACCGTAATGTTAAAAATACAAAGAATTCTTCTTATAAAAGTACTTATTTGTCCTACAGTTACCACTTCTGGCAGCTTTGAAGAAACCTAACCATAGAAACAACTGCAAACAACTAACATGCCCCCTTCTCTAACTACTCCTGCTGTTTGCATGTCAGTGGTATTTAGAATAATAGATCAAGGAGGTACATTCTGTCCATTATTTAATTACAGATAGTGTGAGTGTGGTCCCAAGGAGGGTAAGAGTAGGCACTTAGATTTGTTTTGTAAGATTATTCTAGATGCAATATAAAAATAGATTATATTAATAGGAAAAATTTAGTTTAACAAATTGTTTTGTAAATAGGCTAGCACAAAAGAGAAATCTTGTTACACTTAAAACTAGACTAAAAATAACTTCATCTGAAAACAAACGTAAATAGTGCATGTTTAGCCTTCATTCAGATACACATCATCATGCAAACTATGGAAATTGACTATGGTAGGGAATTTGAGGCTGGGTATTTGTTGAAGGAGCTGATGTTTGGTACCGATTTCAGTGGAACTGTATACTGCTGGCCAGGTCAAGGTGAAGAAGCGTTGATAACCCTTTGTGGCTGACAGCAGTGCTGTCCCAACTGCCAGCAGCAAGGGGCTAATGCTGAAACATTCCCGAAGATTGTCTGCTTCCTGGGCACACCTCCACACTGCACATTCGCAGATGCGCAAGTCCTGTTGCTGTTCCACTGCAAATCCTGAGGAATCTCCAGTGCAGATACCCCTCTCCCTCCAGCAGGAAGATGGGCACTGACCTCCTGTGTGCACGATGGCTGAAAACATACTCCCTGCTGCTCCTTCTCCCAGGCTGCAGGAAACTACAAGAGTCTGTTACGCTTCTGATTCCTCCCCTTTTTCACGTATGGCTCCGTCCTCTTCTGACTCATCATTCAGAAGAATGAACTTTCCATCGTTTGTGAATGGCACAGACTTCATTAGCTGAGCTAGTGCTTCTGGATCCTGAAGGGAAAAAAAAACCAGAAGGGAAGTCAGCAGGCTGCAGCACTCTTGAGGAGCACACACTTCTCCCAGCATTTTGCGACTCTTAGTAAGGTTCTGCAACTCTTATGACAACCTTTAGGCTAAAGATTTGAAATTTATCCTTTTTGGTTCAAGTAAACCCATCCTTTGAGTATGTGAGGGGAACAGTCATTCACTTTGAACTTCTATTTTGCTGTTCTTATCTGACATTGCTAGAATTACTGAAAAACAGTAATAAAGGGGAAAATAACTGACTACATTAATTATTATACTTGTGCTTATTGCTGTGACTAAAAGCTTATTCCCCCAACTGAACTGAAATCTTAGCAGCAAAAATATACAGCACGTGTTGATGTACTAGCATCACATCTTTCTATAGGTAAAATTTCTCTAGTTAAGTAATGTTGCCATTTATTTTAAGTGAAAAACACTTTACCTTACAGTGTTTGGGGTTTTTTGACAACTTTACTCACAGCTTCCATTCCAATATGACCAACTGAATTTGTATAGTTCTGAATCAGATTTAGGGTGGCAAAATTTTATCTCAAATAAAGCTACTGAAAAGTCAAACTAAATTTATCTTCACATGAACTCCCCAAAGGCTGGGTTAAATAGAGTGGTCAGAACTTTGGCATTAGGAAGAATCGCAGTTCTCCTTTCATAGGCACACCAGAGGTACTTAGAGGGTGCCACCCAAAATAGAATAGGATGGATCACAATGCAGACATGAAGAATGAAACAAATTTACCTTCTTTGCCTCAATGATTTCTTTTCCCAAGCTAATGGCATAGCAAATCTAAAACAAACAAACAAGAAAAGGTATATGTATGTAAAATTCAGGTTTGGGGTTTTCTTTTGTTTCTTAATTGGGCCTAAAACACAGAAGTGTCAGTGCACACCCAGTCTTAAATACAGGTCTAACAGCAGAGGTGGAATACCCCTTGACTATGCTAACTACATAAAATGATGTTGGCTTCTGCTTCAAAGCTCATTTAAGCTGGTAAATCATTGTATTCAGTTCTACTCACCAAACTTTATTTCCAAACCCAGGGCATCTTTCCAGTGCATGTAAACTGATGTTGTTTAAGACAAAAATTCTCCAGCACATTCCTTATTTCTAATAGTCTGTTGTTATCCCATCGCAGTGTATTGTTTCACCATACCTACTGGTGTTACCACAGAACGGTTGCCCTGTCTTTTGAAAGCTTTACAAATGTGCATGTCTTAACATGAGCTGATGTTCACACTTGTTACTGCTCGTGCTTGGCACGTGCTTCCCCCCCTCTCCCGTTCCTCCTTCTGGCACATGCTGCTGCAGCACCTGTAAGCGTGATCCTTTTCAGACATAAGCTATCAAAGGCTCACATTTTCTTGACAAGAAACAGCTGCTCTTATTTCTGTAGCACTATTTCCCAGATGTGTAAACCAAGAAAACGTCTTTTCTAAATTAAGTATTTTATTAAGTGTTATGCAAACCTTTTCCCCTTCTGTGTTGCTCTCAAAAACATATGCACTCATGGATTCTTCTCCCAGTGGCTCACTGAGATGGACCACAAAGCCAAACAGTCGCCTGTTATCCTGATGAGCAGCAAACTGTGTCACAGTGGGGAGGTCAAACTGGAAAAGTGTCAAAAAGGATTTACTTTTAACCAGTATATGGTTAGCTTGGTTGAGAGCTCAAGTTCATGTGACTTGACTATTCAATGCTGTGGTAGAAAACCAGGTTCAACACAGAAGTTACTTACACTTGTTCGTGTAACTTGGGTCTGAGGATCTATTAACCTGCAGTTGTGTGTAGGGGACAAAAGAAATTATTTTAGAGTCACTGTTAGTCATTTCCAAGCGCTGTACAATAAAAAGGCAATTGCTGTACCAGTTCTACAGATGTGGAAATGTGCAGAGTCACGTGCTTTATCAGTGATCCCAAGTTCGTTGATGACAGGGTTCAGCTTTAGACCCTGACTCTCCTCTGCCTAACCTGTGTAAGTCACAGGATCTTTCTGAAGCACGAAGGTGGTAGGCACCCTTCCTGTAGGAGCTACCACACTGGCTGTAAATGCACTCCAGCTAAAATAAGTATCTTGCTTCAGCATATTCTACAGTGACAAGACTGTCCACGAGACAGCAATGGCTCTCTCTTGCTGTTATTACATCTTCAGTGCATCTTTTTTTTTTGCATCTTTATCTTTGTGGCCCTGCTGCATCCCCTAAGGTTTGGTAGGATGTTCTTACAACTTCCTAGATACTACAGAGTAAGAGAAAGACACATTTTTACACAGTAAACTTAATCCTAGGATCTTGCTGTCCTGAAGGGTGTATTTTTCTTGGGGAAACAAGCCCCAAAGTACTTCACTGATCACAAGCTGTATGAAGGGAAAAGAACATTGATAAGTTGAAGGTTTCACAGTACCTCAAGTTCTTGCTAGTGACCATGAGATGCGATTCAGTCATGCGGAATATGTTGTGGATGGCACGAGCAGCTAACACTTGTCTCATCGCTTCATAAATCACCTCACTTGTGGTATCTGACTGAACAGCCATAGAGCCTAAAAACCGGACTATGAACATCTGCTGCAAGAGTGAATCTGGAAGATAAAAGGCGTGATTTCCTTTGCTGTGCTGCCTCAGTTTTCCAGTAGGTGAAGTTATCTATGAAGTAATTTACTTTCACTTCAGAAATTCAATAGTAAACCCTGTGGGTGGTGACTGTTGCAAGCGGCGACTTCCTGCTGTGCGCCAGGCAGTGCTCTGACCCAGTTTTAAACAGTGCTTGAACTAGCAATGAGTGTGTATGTGTGAAATCACAGTTGCTTGGAAACTCTCCAACTGTAACTGGCCCTTTATGCCTTATTTGATTAGCTAGTAAAATTTACTTGCCTGTCTTATCAGGTACACGTAAAGAGTGCGCATAAACCATGATAAACTTAAGACTGTGCATAAGCCTTGACTTCTATCAAATTAACCCTTATCGTTAAGCCTTCTTACATGTCCTTCTGACCTTTCATGCAGCTGGGTCTAATGAGGTTGTCATTAAATCCTTCCCTGATCATTGACTATCACCACAAGACTCCTAGCTGCAACTTGGTAGCCATCAAGTGACAAAGCCTCTAATTGATCAGTCTCCTGTTACGGTTGGTAGTGAGCAAGGTAAAGTGGGATGAGTTCTGTTGAATGTCACAGTTCAGAGGCTGCAACAGCTGCGTCTCCATTGCTAAAGATACACAGCAGCTTGAGCCAAGTGATACCATCCACATGTGCAACATGAAATGCAGGGCAGTCACCTGAGCACTGCACTACAATGTGCTGGAGCAGAGCAGGGTGCTGCTGCTGTCAATGTGGAGGTGCCTGGCACAGCTACTCTGCTGCCAGGCAGCTTGCAGCCATCCTACCTTGCACTGGGATAGCACGCATAAGGGAGACTGTTAAGGCTTGATCAGCCTGGAGAAGACTCCAGGGAGACCTTACAGCAGCTCCCAGTGCCTTAAGGGGCCTACAAGAAATGTGGAGGGGGACTTTTTACAGGGCATGTAGTGACAGGACAAGGGGGAATGGCTTTAAACTGACAGAGGCCAGATTTAGAGACTAGGAAGAAATTCTTTACTGTGAAGGTGGTGACACACAGAAACAAGCTGTCCAGGGAAGTCTGGCTGCCCCATGCCTGGAAGTGTTCAAGGCCACGTTGGACTAATTTTGTCTGGAAAAATGAAGCACTTACCTTCCTCTTCATCTTTGTTGCTGTCTTCAGATTCCCCAAATGGGTTTGCACGCCTAAGAAGTAAGAATAAAAGCTGTAATTACAGATTCTGGTCAGCACACACATGCTGCAATACCTAATTTTCTCCCCTGAAATCACTCTGGTAAGGTGATCAATCACTGTCTCTGGCCATACCTGCCACCTCTGTTCTGGTCCAGGAATTCCATGGCAGGCAGTACAATATCAAACTGAATCGGTGTTCCAGGAGCAATGAGTTGTGTGGAGTCTTGAATGCTGGCTGATTCACTGGGAATTATTTTATCATTTTCCATATTCTTTACATTCTGGCTAAAATAAAAATGGGGAAAAAAAGTATGTTTCAGTCAACCAGTGATGCCCCATCTTTGCTCAGGAAGGGAGACAAGATTATTCAAAAATCCAAAGCAGGACTGAACCACTATCCATAAACTTAAATAAGAGTATTTACCTATTTACCTGTTATTGAGGACTCTAAAAATCTGTTTTACCTTTTTCATACCTAAAATTGCTTAGGACAAATGTAAATGCTGGCATATTAAACCTGACTGCAGATCAAAGCTGAGTGTGGGCTGGCTTTCAGCAGCAGGCTGCTATTGGCCTCCCTGCCCTTCAGTGGCCATATTCCTAGCAGCACTATCAGCTCAAACAGCAGAGACCTGGACTTGTGCCTGCAGTTGCAAACAGCCATCCTGACATCTTTTTAAGATCTTCCTTGGCCACAGTCTAGTCACAGTACAATAGTTATGAAATAGTATTACACACTGGGGCTGATTTCTTCCGGCATCTTTTCTCAAAGAGAATGAAATTCCAAGTTTCCCACAGTTACAGAAGGCTTACCTATACACATTGCTACACTGGTGCACTAGGTTTATCCTATTTCTAGAAAGTTTTCTGTCTCTTTCTGGTTGCATACAGATGTAGAAGTGACTCTGGAGATTAGCTGTCAGTGAAACAGCTATTTCCTTTTCCCAGTGAAATAGATGGCAATACTCCTCTATTTATAAATAGAGGAGCTGCACTGTGAATAAAATTAGAAAGAAATTGACTAGCATTCCCCTGGATACAGAGAATCTTTGGAATCTGTAAGCAATCATAATAAAGAGAATGATAAATCATAGCAAAGGCACTGGCCTGAGAGAGGCAAAAGAGCTGGAAAAGGTTTGCATTTCTAGAAGTAAATATCTGAAGTAAAAATTTACAATTTTCTACCAAAACTTGCAAAGAATTCTTTCCATGTTGAAGTCAGTGTAACACAAACTTGCCCTATTTGTCACATCACTTTTGAGAGCTGGATTTCAGTCCAGCGCTGCGACTGAAAGCTATTTCTGATGATGAAGTCTGGAGATTTCCCACTGAACAAGATGCTGTGATCACGTGGACACAAATAAATGATACATAAAATACATATTTTGAATATCCTAAAACATTATTAACAATTTTTGAAGGAGGGGAGCTTTACTGGTTCCCCAGGGTTATTGCTGGGAGGGTTACTGCTGAATGAGCAGAAGAGAACAACAGGAATTACTCTGATAACAGTGTAAGGCATATTGCTGTGACAGACTGACAGGAACTTCTTGAGGCACTGCAGAAGAATATACTTATACTGGGGACTGCTGCATTACTTGTATTACAAGTCATCCTCTTACAGCAAAGCACTTACAACTAAAGCATTGTGTTTGTTCCTGAAGAAACAGCAAAATCCTGCTGGCAACCACAAGAATTGTCAAAGCTGTGATGCAGAGCAATAAACGGTACCTTCAACATGCAGCATCTCTTAACATTTAGCTTTCAGCAGTAAGGAAACATCAGAAGCAGAGGAATTTGCTGGAGCACACAGGCTTGTAAAGCCAGGGCCTACACAAGGCTTTCTACTGGGTGCCTTTTGCCCTGTAGAAAGGGAACTAATGAGTACACAGTCATTAGGCTGTGCAAGTGAGAAAGTTACCTGGGGTGGCGAACTTCCTGTTTCTTCCCAAAGCTGGTAATGGGAGTCACTGCTTGTAGAGCTGTCTGATTTAACTTGATTGCAGCTGCCTATGGAAACAAGACAACAGCTCTTTGACACACCTACTTTACATTGACATATAAAGAACAATGGGAAAGCATGTTGGAAGGAACGGACCAAAAGACGGAAACAAGCTCCCACCTCTGGATTGTCAGTGAGATAGATCTGTCTGGAGATGTTGTTGATGGCACATATCCACTGGAAGAGAAAGATGACATTAAACTCTTCAAGCTCACTTGTATACAAGAATAACAACATTAAAAAAAATATTTTTACCTCCTCGTATTCTTTCTTGCTTTCTGCTTGAAGGGTTATACCCCTAAAATATAAACACAGTGTATCAGTGCTAACAGCGGACACCAGGACTGTTTGACTCCAGGTCTTACAATAATGTCACCAAGCTTTGGATCAACCATCAAAAGAACAAAAATCAGGAATAAGCTCCAGCTAAAGGATACTGCATATGCTGTTTCAGGCAGTTGTGGGGGAGGATGGGCAGGAACATGCTTTTAATTTGGAAACACCCTTCTGGAAACCCAAAAAGGCTTACTATTATAGCAAGCATGTTTTATATGAAACAGCAGCTGAACATGTAGGTGTGACTGGCTGTCCTCAAATAAAACCTGTCTCATACGCTTTGCCTGTAGGAGTGGTAATCTGAAAGCAGTATCTTCTGTCTTCGCAGTCTACAGCCATAACAGAGCAGTTGTCCAGGTCCTGAATCAATCCTCCAGCTACTGCTCCCCTTGGCTGACACATCAAGTTGCCACCTTGAGTGAAGAAATACAGCCTTTCCCAAGTTGTAGTCACCAGACCTGTTTTACTAAAGAGAAGATGCAGTGATAAAGACTCATTATTATTTAGAAATCACTCCAGACATATGTGAAACCACAAACATATCCTGACATTAATCTGAACTCTATGTCCAACACTAAGATTTTTTTTTATGATGAATCTCTTAAGTAAAAGCAGCACCTCACCTCTTCTTAGCAGAGACTAATCCTTAATGAAAGCTGGAAAAGTAAACTAACTCCTAACATCCAAAGTTAACAACATTCAGTACCTCCTAGTTAAGGAGCAGAAGAACTGAGTAACTGACATGAAATACTATTAAGCTGGATAAGAAAAAATAATTCAGTCTGAAGAGCAGCCTGAGCAATTTCAGCACAAAAAGTCATCATTACAAGAAGAATCTTCTACAAGTAGTATCTCTGAGTCCATCATCTTCCTACCTATGGAGCCCTATTATGTTGTACTCCAGCTCTTAGAATGCTATGAGAAATTAATAAATGTCTACTCACACACACAAAAAAATTACTAGTCAAATAAAATAAACTGATATTTAAACATAAAGAGGGTTACTATATGCTACCACTATACATAGCTCCTGAGGAAGCTGACGGAAGATCTGGAAAATCTGGAGAAGTAACTCCACGTATGGTACACATTCAAAGTTATGCATTTGCATTGTCAATAGAGATTTTATTTATGTAAAAGAGATTGTTTATGAACACATGTATTAACTACAAAATGTAACTGTTTATTTCTGTAAACACTGTTTTCTTTAGCCCTAAGAACTGGGAACACTTCAATGCAGAGAATCACCCCTATAGGTGAATTCAACAAGAAATAAACTCTATTTTCAGGAAAACAGTCCCAAATATCTATAATTTAGCTTCTAAATCCCATTTCCAAAGATGACAGAGATACTTAGGAGCCAAAGAGTACAACTACCACAGTGATTCAGGAGCTTCAAACATCATTACCTGAGGAGTCTTTATAACCAAAAAATGTAGCAGCTAATTAGAAACTAAACTAACTAGTGAGTAGCAAGAGTTCTTACTTTCTAAGATTAAGGTAGCCAGCCTTCTGGATAAGATTTCTGTTGATAGCAGGTGAAGTTACATCAGAATCTGGGGTGTAAACGGATTCATTAACTGCAATTAAATCCTGTTGGGATACCCTCATTTTTTCAGCTTCAGCTTCCAGCTCTCCCTGTATGCTGGAAAAAAAAACCAACACAACGAGAAAACCAAAGCCATCATTAGTCAATTTATACCAGGATACAGCAACATCTGTACGTCAAAATGAACAAAAATACCAGTTGAGATACAAAACCTTTGCAAAGGCAACAGCCAGTGCAGATTTACCAAGTGCAAATCAAGCCTGACCATCCTAATTGCCATCTGTGATGCACCGACTAGCTTGGTGGATGGGAGAAGAGCAGTGGATGCCATTTCCATTTGATTTCAGGAAGACCCCTGACACAGTCTCCCATAGTATCCTTACAGTACACAAATTGGTGTACTACAAGATAGGTAGAAAACACATCTGGGCTACATAGCTCATGGGGTTGTAATCAGTAAGATGAAGCCCAACCAGTACCCAGCTATTAGTGATGTTCCTCATGGGTCAATACTGAGGCTTGCATGTTTGCAGTCTTTAATAGGAGCTGGACAACCCACACAAGCAGATGACAACAAATTGGGAAGACTGATTGCAGACATGGTAGATTGAAGGGCTGCTGTTCAGAAAAACCTTGACATGCTGCAGAAATGGGCAGATAGGAGCCTCATGGAGTTCAGAAAGGGGTAAGGCCCTGCTGGGATGGAATAAACCCATGCAACTGTAAAGGATGGGAGGTATCAACAGAAAATAACTTGCAAAGGACCTGCGGGTCCCAGAGGACAAGTTAAACATGAGCTAGCACCATGCCCTTGTGGCAAAAACAGGACAGCCGCATCCAGGGCTGCATGAGCAAGAGCATAGCCAGCAGGTCAAAGGAAGGAATTATTCCCACCCATTCAGCACTGGTGAAACTCCAGCAGAGGCACTGTCTTGTTTTGGTGCCCCAGCACAGAAAAGACAGAAGTCAAGAGCCACCAAGATGGCCAGGAGGCCAGAACACATTGACTGAGAAGAAGCTGCCAGAATTACTTATCAGCCTCATGAAATTAAATCTAAGGGAGGGGTGTGGGGGGGGTGTGTCTCACTGCTAGCTTAACCTGATAGGAGGGGTAGTAGCTAGACCCTTACTGGAATACACAGTGATAGGATGAGAGACAATGGGCACTAGCTGCAACCACATACTGTGCGCACTGTGCACAAGAGGGAGACAGAGAGTGATGCTCAGAATTTGACCAGACACGGTGCTGAGCACTGCTGTAGCCGACCCTGCTCTCGACAACGGAATGGACTATATAACCTCTTGAGTTCCACACCACAGCAGCTGTTCTCTGACTTTCAGAGAAACAATACTAGCAAATATTTGATTTCTTAATTAACTTTTCCAAACTCGAGGAGTTATTAACTGTATCCAGGCTCCTGGCAAAACTCATGGGGTGGGAAAATAAGAATACTTGACATTGCATACGTTCAAAAGTCCCTAATACTTGCACCTATGCAATAAGCAATTTTATCCCTACTTCCTATCCAAGTGGTTAAACCTTTTGAATAACGCAAGCATGTAACGCAGGCAATGTAGTCCTGTCTCTGACAGTGGCAAAAAGCCTGTGGGAAAAGTACAAGACAAGTACGTATATTTCTTCCCTGGTCTTCACACCAGTCTTTTGTAGATGTTGGTGATATCCTGTAACTGCTGAAGTAACCTAGAGACACAGCGATGCATTTAAATCAGCACTAAACAGTATCTGACTGGCCCAGGAGAAGGGGTTTTGCATCATGCTGTCTGTTTCACATTAGCTTACTTCCAACTTTTCTGCATGTTGAGAAAGCTGAGACTTCCTAAGCTCCCACATCACCTCCAAAATGAGAACAGCTGTGTGCGTCTAGCCAAGTCATATGAGAGGCTGAGTTATAAAGGCTGAGTAGTATCATTAGATCTGAATTAAATTAGCCCATATTTTGTAAGCTAGTGCTTTTTCAACGTTATCATTAACTGCCAGAATAAGAATTATTTAAATTCCACTTTGAAATAAAATCGAACAGTGCTGGCAGTTTCTTATATAGGGGCTACTTCAATGAATCTTCCAATCAGACATTTTCATTGCACCACAAACTGCTTCCAATAAAACTGCCCTTAGCATCTTCATGGTTCCAAAGACTGGATTATTCTTCCTAAGGCATGTTTCTCCCATCTCTCCAAGAGGAGAGATAGTCTCATCTCCGAGGTAGAAGGACAGAAAACTTGATAATTCCAAAGTTCTATGCATTTGTGGCAAACAGACCACTTGGTTACTGAGAATATTCTGGTTATCTGTATTCTCTTACGTGCTTTTACACTGTTTGCAATACTCACAGCATAAATGAAAATACTGTTAAATATGAGACTCAGGTTTCAATCAGCTTAAATACAGGCAAGACTACATCGCTGCTGGAATTCTGTACCTGCACAATATGTCTCATCAGTTTGTGGTTCCAAGAAAACAAATCTGACAAATAAAACCCCTTTAGCCTGATTAGCAAGCAGATCTGACTCACTGCGTCCTTGTGATCCCCAACACTAAGGAAGTAGAAGAGTGGGCTGCACAGTTTTTCAGTGATTGCATAATCTTAAATCATGAAGCCATGTTGTGTGTTAGTAACTGCCAAGCTACAGAGTGTCATTCAGAATTCTGCAAGCTTCTCTTCCAGTTTTTCCACAGACATCACACTCCTGTACTAGTTACATTTGATTCGTACTTTCAAGCTTTGCTGTATGGCAGACATAAAATACAGACTCAGAAAAACAACTGAGCAGCATATTTTTGCTTCCAGTTACTACCATGTACTATCCAGAATTCAAATCCTTTGGACTCTTTGGAAAAGTCCAAAAGCTCATTCTAAGGTGAGGATCCAGTGACAGGATCCTCACTGTGCCTGTAAGACACAAGCAAGATGCTCTAGCCTTACTAAATAAAGGGCACTATTTCAAGGGAGTTTAAATCTGTCCTCCAGCCTATACAAATGCTGCAGACGGATTTATTTCAGGAGTGAGGGTGAAAAGATACATAAGTAAATATAAAGGTACAGGAAGTAAAGAATCATTTAGTGAAAGAATCTACTACGCAGAACAATTACTTATAACTCTGTTCTCAAATTAACAAGTATGCGTTATTCAAAATGCCACCAGAGTCAGAATAAGTAATGATTTAGCTACAGTCCAATATGAAAGGAATGAAGCAATAATGTGAAGGACTCAGTCCAGTGTTTCAGCTGATTTAAAATAAATGATGAATGTTCTAATATGATTATACTTTAAAGTTTATGTTTACAGGGACTTAATCACAAAGCAAAGGTCAGTCTTCACTATAAGTAGAAGATGGGGGTAAGAGTAAGAAATAGGGAGTACAAAAGTGGGTCAGTTTATTGAAAACTTAGCCAGAGAAGGCTGAAATCAGTGGACTGGTACTGGATGCAATGGATACGGCTCTCTAGGACAAGGAGTTTTGTTTGCCTTGTGCAGCTACAACATCACACACTACAGGCTCTAAATCCTTATTCGAGATGTTAATGGATTATTGTTACAGTATTATTACAGAAGAGCCAGCAAGTAACTCAGAATGGACTTCAGCTCTAATGTATTAATTCTGCTAACTCATTTCAAGCCCAAATTGGATGCTTTTGTGTCCAGGTTGAGACACAGGGATGTAAGAAAACATATGAACACTTTACAGTATATAGTTCCTGACTATACTGTACAAACACTCTCTGTAGTGCACTGACAGCATTTTCCTTTGCATGTACAAGCATACTTCCTTTCCACTTGCTGCTTCAGCAAAATATGCCCAACAGTGTAATGCAAACATGGTAGGAATCTCTTAAGGAAGGCACCCTGTTACATGCTGAAGGTTAGAGTGCTATTACTCAGAAATCAACAGAATGACAAGAGGAAGCAAATGTACTGCATTACCTTTGAACCATGTCCGAAACAGATGACAAAAAGCTGTCCATTCTTTTGGAAAACATCTCTGCTCCTTTCTTAAAAAAGTTGATCTGAAAAATACAACAAAAATGGACACTAGAAGTTATCTTGGCTTTGGCATACAAATACCAGATTGTGAGGACTGAGTTAACAATGATCCCATCATGACTGATGCTTTTGGCTGGTGCTCAAACACACGGTCAAAGCAGCTGCATTGCTTTCTTTGCATTTTTCACTTTTGCAACTTTCCACCCTCACACACACATAAGCTACTGGCTGCTGACAGATATGTTTCTAACAAACTTGCTAAGTATCTGCAACAAGGGAAGAGGCAGTCTTCTCCCACACCGGCACTGGGCAGAATTGGGTCTAGTGATGTTGTAAGCCACTGCGTGCAGTGCCACCATATCAAACAGAATGAGGCACAAGCCATCCATTAGATTTATTTGTTCAACCTGGACTACCAGCTCCAACCTGGAAATTTTAACAGTGCTAAGGCAATTGTCAGTCAGGAAAGTGATAAAGTGTAGCTGTGCCATCAGAAGCCTCCAGGACAATCACTTATGTCAACTAGAGATTTGCCATGGATTTTGTTCTACTGAAGGGGCTATAAAAAGCTACTAAGGCCAAAATGCACATTTTAGGACAGAAGATGAATTCACTTAGCTGGTAAGGCTCTGCAGGCATGCAGCAGCAGCACTCAGTGTAGACTTGACCTTGGGTAACCTTCTGTGGGGCACACAGTCATCATTAGGGCCTACTGGCAACTGTGTGAAACATGGACATGGCTAATGCATGTTTGCAATTAATTAGCTTAAAACAATAAAATCGGTGAACTACTCTGGAAAGAGATATAAAAACAAATTCTTGGTTGTTAAGCAATATATTAGCCATTTCATTCAATTTTATTTGTGATTCTGTTCCTTTCCCCTAGCCTTCGGACTCTGGATTCCTTTTACCTGGAACTCAGATTCTGACAACCACGTTACTGACCAGACTCCCTTTACATACAAAGGAGAGAAACCATGCTCTCTTAAAGAATGGTTTACCTATTCTATTTCAGAAGTCTACTTCAGGAGGGAAGAACTTTAAATTCACTGATGATAGACTGACACGCCTACCTTAGATGTTGATGTCAGTTTTCAGTCAAATAAACCCTGTATTAGCCACTGCTTCTTCCAAAAATTCTTTATGATCTGCTTTCATTGGGAAGGTGAAATATTAGACATGTTTTGAGTAATTAATAAAAAAAACACATACTCAGCCTAAAGGGCAGTTTGTGGTATTGAAGCATCCGTATCAACTGGCTTCTAGCTACTCAGTCATTCTCATGATGACCCAAGCGCTTCCTGTATAAAGCACTCAGATATGGCAGTTTTGCCAGGTGAGTTCTATTTGGCTTCCAGTAAAGGAAGCTAATGCAGTTGTTCCGCTTACTGTAATTAGAGCTGAGAAGCAGTGTGTACTCCCGTGATCGGGAAAGTGACCGAATTCTCATTTATTACCTATTTTATATGGGTCACATGATCTGCAAAAGACACAGGACAATGGAGATGATGACCCACACTACAATCTCAAACAGAGCACTGCATCCAGTTTTCGTTTTCATAGCCCAATTCTCATTTTCCCAACTTTCTTTTATCAATGTCGATGCACAACACACCATTAAAATGGGTGGTAATTGGAATCAAGTGCTTTGAAAATACTAGGATGTCTCCTAACATCCTGGAGAATGACATTATTAGTATTAGGCACTTTACAGAGCTGAGAAGCACTCTATGAAATTGCTGGCAGAATAAAGATTAGAAAGAGGATTTGCCAGCCTTATACTCAATCCACTCTACTGTTCTGTCATTCCAGTTCTCCAGAGCATGCTCTGTTCCCTACCGTGCACACTCCTCATCAGTATGCTGAACATTATGTGCTGGGAAGGGAACTGCTACATAGGAGAGTTTGTGCAGACAGAGTAAACAGTGGAAGCAAATGCTGCTGCACTGATAGCTTAGCTGTGAAAAAAAATTAAGCCCAGGCTGATTTTGCATTTAAGCGTACTGGGGTTTTTTTCATTGGTGTCTTTTCTTAATATCTAAGCATTCGACTATCTCCCACAAACAAAATCAGTTGTTAGCATCCAGGCAAGCTGAATAAATGTTTTTCCCTCCGCCGGTACGGTGTGTAAGTTCTCAAAAGAAGAAAAAAACAAAATTCCAGGACTACAATGTTTTACCCTTCCCACGGAGGTGTCCAAGACGTACAGACACTTTCCTGTCCATACCTGTCCTCTAGTATATCCTAGCATAGGTTCCATCATTGCCACTCTCTTCCTGTACTGCAGAGCATTCAGGGCACAGTAATATTGCAGAGATGAAAGATGCTGCTTTCTTCTTGCATTTGCCACTTCTTTTGCCACTTCTGCCTTAAGCTGAATAAAAATGGATAACAAGGCTGACAGTGTTATTGTGCATATGGATACATTTACAGATTATTTTCAAATTGTCTTTAAACAACTCTTATTACAGAACTTCTCCGCATTGAAATGATGGCGGAGAAACTAAGAAAGTAAACCCAAAACTCAAAGCAAGTACTTCAAGCCCTTCTCTGGCAAGATACTTAAGCATCTGGGGAGTTCCTGTGACTATAAACTATGTAACTACCACAACTAAAATTCTGTGTCTGATCTCAGTGCAATAGATTCATTTGCAGGTGAGATCACAACACAAGCCTACAGATGCAGAATTCAGGGATTAATAATTTGCAATATGATATATCACATTCTGTTTTGTAAATCACTTCCTTTAAAGGACCCCCATGCAGAACTGATGCTCTCTTAGGATAGAGCAAATCACACACGTTTTGGCATACAGGGATATATTTTGGAATGGTGGTCCAGAGGGCAAAGAAGAAGAAATGTAAAACAATGCCACCAACAGAATTATGTACTGTAAGTGGAATGACAATTGATATAAAAAATTCCATCAGGAAGGTAGATGGGAAACAGCAGACACAAGGCTTCACGACAGTTCACAATGAATTGTACCCAGAGATTCAGCGTCATCACATATGCTGTACAACAGTAGGCCTACGCAAATCTATTTATAGCCATTTGGACTGCCTCTGTCTGAAGAGCTCTCCTGGATCTGAAGGGCTCTAGTTCAGCACAATACCTGATCATTGCCTAACTTGGAGAAAACAGGCATAACTTTGTTGAATTGCGGTTTAAAAACTCTGTGTCTGCTTGGGAACCAAATCACAAGTACTCTTGAACTACTGCCAGTTTAACTGATGAACTCTCTGAAACGCCCAAGTGAACAATGATGCAGACGGAACGGCTGATGGAAACTTTTCCTCTTCCCTTTCACGTTTGTTACCTTTTCATTTTCTTTCCTTTTCGGTAACCTGCTATACTTTGCCATGGACACGTCATGTTCTGTAGACAAGGAATATTATTTTTTTTAGAAATGTGATGTGTGTATGCACAGTTTCAAATGGTTTCTGTGATATAACAGGTGCCCACCATTAGAAACAAACAAAACAGGGAAACATACCGTTGCTAGCAAGGCCAAAAAGATCCTTCAAAGTGCTTACTTCTGGAAAACAGAAATCAAATATTCAAAGTAAAACCAGCTGTAAAAACCTTGTTCCACTGAGACCATTTGTGGCACATTTAATGGCTAAATCACTCCAATCCTTTCACAGCAGAGATGCACAGGTTGTTCCTGTCTTGGTAGTGATAAACCAATTCAGCTGCTAGAGAAATAAACAGGCAGATAGCAAAGTAAAAGCCAAGTTTACCTGATTGAGCAAGTTATCTCTATGAAAAAGACTGTTTATCTGCCAGTGAAATGTACCCAAAGCAGCACCATATGTTTGTTATGACAAAAGGAACACTGCTATCATAAAGATTGCCAGTTCTGAGTATCTTCCTGATGATCCTTACGTGACACTGGGAAATCTATTGTCCCAGAGACACATGAACTAAGCACTTTTCCTGTACATCTTCATCAACATGTAACATTTTGTGCTAAATTCCTCTGTGGAAAGAAACATGCATCTAACACATATGACTGCTGGCTATGATGCTTACATTGCAAACACTGAGTCTCTGACACAGGTAACTCAACTTTCACACATGTTGGGCACAAGCTCTCTCAGCACCCGTATGTATGCTGCAACTGGCAAAGACCTTCTCAAAAAGCTACAAAGAAAGCACATTCACAAGAACAGACATTATGCAGCTTTGAAAAGAAAAAGGGGAAATTGCAGGATATCATCAGGGTCTCTGATTATCTGCCACAACCTACTCATTATTCACCTTCACTCCTCCCTTTTCTCCCAGAACACTTCCTCATGACTGATGCAGAAAGACAGAAATTCTTTCCAGGACCGACTAACTTGTACCTAGATGTTTCTACAGAAATCAACACATAGACATAACCAGACCAAAAGTAAAAACAGGAACACTGTTAGTCTTCCTTGCTTGCTTGTTTAATCCTATGATGAAATTTTAATTGCAAGCTTCACTTGCACTTTCTTTTTATGTCTTCTTTTATTAACCAGGGGGCAGAATCCAGAAACATGGCAGCATAATCACTATATCAGTGAAGCCACATTAAAGATGTGGGAAAGTGTTTACAGATCCAAGATCTTACCATCCAAATCCTGATTTGTATTTGACATTCTATGATAAACCAGATATCCATTAATAGAGACACCTCGATGTCTTCACAATTTCAAATGAGATGCTGTGATGCAAGGAACCTAAACCAGTCATTATTCTGCTGTAGTTGTTTTGTCTCCCATCAAAATGATGTCTTTAATAAGTACATAAACAGCACTGAGATTAGCAAGATGAGAAGTGGGCTTAAAAAAAGGCAAACACAAAACAAAACCAAAAACCTGCAGTTAAAATTTAAAACTCATGTTTCTGTTGCATGCATAGGTTAGAGTGTCCTTGACCTTGAATATGAACTTTTCAAATGACATCACATGTTTGCATTATTGCTTTGCTATATGAATTTCCAAGTTTGTGTAATCAGGTTACATGGAATCACCCTTGGCTGGCAAGGATTTAGAGAGGACTGATTCCTTAGAAGGACAGGAATAGATTATACTCTCAAGTCAAAAAAAAACATTCCTGTTTGTACTTTTCAAACAAACTCAAACTTCTGAAGTGAGACAACCACTGTTTGCAAGCCAGATGCCCTTCTGAATTTCCCTTCTTTAGGCAATCATAACACCAATGACTTCACTGAAATTATACCAGTGTAAAAGCAGAGTGACCCAGCAAAGAAAAAAACTGTGTATTTTCAAACTTGCACCATACAACGCATAAAACGTGGTGAGCTTGCAGTGTTTATGCCCGAGTAACAGCACATACCCATCAAAGAAATTCTGTAGCGGAAACTAAAAAGTAAAACCAAAACTTTTCTGTTCAACACAGAACAAAAGATTACATGGCATTATGTCTCAGGTTAGTATGCAATAAGCAAGAAGGAACACAGGAGGAAAAATAAAGCTTAGAATAAAATTTACCTGTGAGATCCTTCTCCCGAAATTGTATTATTGGGAGAACCATTGTATCTGCAAGCTGTTTTGCCAGTTCAGAATGAAGAATATTGAGCTAAAACAGAGAATAAAGGCATGCCCTAAGACACAGTGTAAATAAATTCATAATTTTAAAAAATAACTGCATTCTACGGCCTGCCATTTGTGTCCAGAGACAAAAAAAGGATACAGAATCATAGAATAGTTAGGGCTGGAAAGGACCTTAAGATCATCTAGTTCCAACCCCCTCTGCCATGGGCAGGGACACCTGCCCATGTACTTCCAATGTACTTCAGTGTTTAAAATACATCTCTCAAGATATCCAACAGAAACTGGGATTTTCCCCTAAATGCTTAATTCCTGCCTGGTGTTTTCCAAGGTTCTTTTCAATTCTCACATACTGTATTAGGGCAGTTCACTTAGCCGTTAATTCTAATGCTTAACTCAACAGGATTTAAACTTTAAGTAGCCTTTGTTAACCAGTTTTTGTTAGCCTTCATACCACAGAGTTACAGTCCCACTGCCATGACTAGAATCTCTTTCCATTCATAAGAGTTACCCAGGACACAATCACAACAAGGGGTAACCACAATGAAAGATCCCAAATATTTCACCTTTTGAGCAGTTTCCTGTTCCTGTTTTTGCAAGTGTTGTTCTCTAAAATTAAGCACACCGAGATATATTTTAAAGCACTCATGTGATTCTGTTTAGTATGAAGGCAAGGCTCTCACATCAGCAGTGGACTGCTAAGAATATCAGATGGGTTCAGGCAGGATAACTAACAGTCACGCTGCTAGAGCAACTCATACTACAAACTAGGAGTGTGCAACAGGCTGACATGATATGCTACTAGTCCTCTAGACAGGGTTATGTGGGTAAGGAAGAAGTCATTATTTCCCACTAGATGCTACAAAACTAAATGAGGGCAATTCAATGCCTGTAGAACAGAAAACTGAGAAACTGGTATGGGGGCAGCTAACACACAGAAAAGCAGGCTGAGGAATGGAGCAGGTTCTTGTGAGGGAAAATGTAACCAACAGAACTGAACAGATATGCTCTCAGCTTTCTGCTCCCAAATGGAATGGTTCTCTTGTGCCTGGGAAAGAGAAACTTCTTGTTTTGATGTATTCATAGTTCATATAGACAAGTACAAGACTTGTGACAACAAATGCTCTTTCCAAGTATCCCCCAAGAGCCCATGCGCAGTTGGAGAAGCCTTAGGAATTCTTCTCACTATCTTGTTGAGAATTATCCATGGGCTCTACAGTTTTTAACTTACTTTTTGCCCCACAGTAGACTAATAAGAACACTTTTCTGATGGCACAGCCCTGCTCACAATAGAGAGAGTGATGTGACAAATGATACTTAAGCAATAAGGACCTACATACTAAGACTATATTGAAATGTTACATGGGCAGGTCTTAACAAAAGCATTTAGGAAGACTCCCAGTACTTGGCAGCAACCTACAGGAAGTAGAAGTGCTGGGTGCATGCAGCTGTAGGACCTAACCTGCCTCCAGCAGGCATTCCTGCAGCCTCCCCTAGACACCTCTATGTTCTGCACTCATAGCAACTAAATTGCAACTTTACTAGTTCACTGCTGCTCTGCACCGATCCTTGTCAAGCTTTGTCTCAAACTGCAGTGTTTAAAACTTAAATATATAAATGTCATTTTAAAATGGAATTAAATAAAAAATGGCCCCAGACTAGATGACATGTCCTGTTTCAGCCTCTTTTCTATTTCCCTATTTAGGAAGTTCACCTTTGCTCTGAGGACAGCATATGGGACAAAGCCACAGAAACGCATCTTACCATTATAGAAGGGTGATATTAAACTTCCTCATCCCCAATTAGATGATTCTATAAAACCCAGGCACAACCTAGCCTTCAGTGGAAAGGCTCAGAAGCAAAATGCTGAAGATCAAAAGAAAATCCACTAGTATTCTATATTGTAGAAATAGAATATTGGCAATTCAAATTACCTCATCCACAACTTTTGAAAAGTAATGAAGGGTGGATATCACTTCTTCATCTCCTTTACCTAAGGCAAAATGCTGAAAATAGAAACACGCATTTGGTCCATAAAACAGTAAAATGAGTATAAAATACGACGTGTTTTACTACACATACTCCTACAAAATGCAATAAATGATAAAGCTATACAGAAAACAGCAACTCAAATATTCTTTTACCCTGCTCCTCCTGTTTTAAATGACTGGATTTTGGACAGCATGTTTAATCCTTATTGTACTCATTTTAAAGTCACAGTCACACAATGGGAACAAACAGGTTTGCAACTTCATAAATTTAGTAATGCGCATTTTGCACCTTTTTTTAAGATTCTCAGAAGTGCCATAACTTCCCTGAACATCCTGGGCAATTTTACAGCTGCCTTCACATGAAACCAAGTAAAGCAAATGCCCTAAACTCTTCTGGAAACCACACTATTTACACAGACTTCTTTGCAAGTGCTGAGGCAGAAAAGAAATCAAAGTCATATGTTGAACATACCTGCTTTTCATAGGCAAGGAGCTGCTTTGAAAGCTGTTGTGTGGCAAGACACATTTCATTCTGCAAACAGAAGTGACATGTTAGTAGAAATAATGAAAGGTCTTTAGCTCTGCTGTAACTACCAGCTTCCTGAATGAATCTGCAACTACTTACACAAGGATTCAGCTGTATGAAAACTAGTCCCAAAACACCTGCATAGAGAAGCAGCAGTGACAGGTATGTTTCAAACCTAAACACACAATTTCAGTTCAACTACTTTATTTAGAGGTAGGATTTGGGATTTAGTTTTGGGTTTCCTCCCACCTACCAAAATAACAAAACTAGAACAACCTCAAACATGTCAGCTGTTATAGCAGCATAAAAATGTTTCATGTTGGTTAACCAACTTTCCCCCAAATCTACAGCAATGAAGAGAACAAGTAGATGTGCCTTTATATAATACATGCATACTCAGGGAATCTACTGATGTAATGACAGTGTTTTAAGTTGACACAGGACTACAGAACAGCACATAGTTCTGTATTCTCATGGCTAAACTTGCCAATGACAGTATATACATCCTCAAGATATGCTTATGTAAAGAAAGACTTGTAGGGAAGGTATTTAATTTTGCTTAAGAGCTGGAAAAAACAGACAAGGATTTGGATATGTCACTCTTTAATCAGAGTATTCCTAACACTAGTATGTCAAGTCCTCTGTCCCCAATTTGTTATCAATTACTTAGAACTGGAATAAAAGAAAAAAGCAAAGGGGGGAACTGGGATCTGTCTTAACACCTGTCAGAACCTTTTCTTCCACAGGAATTCACAAAATCACTTCTAATTTAATTTTACACCTTAACATTATCTGTTCCTCTCTCCAAATACAAAAGGCCATTAGCAGTCTGTATAACTCAGAGCAATCTCTGAGCTGCTTTAATAGCACCTTTTATGCTGGGGTTGGCACAGAAAACCATTAAAACTGGGACAGAGTTTATGTGTTCTCTTAATGTCCCTTGTCGTCCTGAGCAAGTGGAGCATGGCAGTTAGTTATCTGGGCCAGAGATTCTCAAACACACTTAACTTTGGCCTGAAGCCACCTCTGACATACTGCATTACAGCCTGGTGCTTCTGCACCACCTTGGTGTACCTGGAAGAAGGGTTACTATAGAGAGCAAGGCCTAAACATTTAGCCAGCGTCTTAAGTGAGCCCAAGTGCTCAGAAAGAACAGAGACATAGCCACAGCCTAGGTAACAGCAGTTGTATGTGAACACAGGGCAGGAAAAGATGAGTGAGCTCATTCTGACCATCTTAAAACACTATGGGAGATGGGAGAGCAGAGGCCTTCCAAGGTACAAACAAGGGCTCAGAACCGAGTTAATCTGGGTCCAAACTCAGATCATGTGCACCCCATGACTGTCCCCACCTCACAGTGATGGATTAGTCTTGTTTCTTGTCTCAGACCAATTACTAATGAGCACTTACATAAAATAATAATGCCAAGGTCTCATGTAAGAGTTGCAAGTTTGTTGTGCAGATTGTGTAGTTTTTCTTGTGAAAAAGGCTGTATGCAAACACTTGGCATTTAAGTATTTCCAAGCCCATGAATGGAAAAGGATGCTGTGCCTTATAATAAGGTAACAAACCTTGTTAATGGCTCAGGCAAGGATAGGAATGTGCCTGACCTATACGCTTCGAGGCTGTAAGAACACCTGAGAGACTTTGCACCTTCAAAGTGGGAGGTAGCAAGCAATGACCTGATGATGGGAAGGATGAGACTCCTTGCATGCAGACAGATGACATCTGTAGGGCTTGTTTCTTTGTATGCCTGTAGGTGGTCTGAAGATGAATTTAAGATCACAAAAATAAGCAGGGGTCCTCAGACCCGGGATCTCTTTCACAAACACAATCTCAAAGACAGAGCTGAGCAAGGCCTGAAAGAAGACCAAGTCTTCATACAACAATTGTGAAGACACCTGTCAGTTGTACAGCTGGGTCACGGCAAGATAAATCTTTTGAAATAAAGTGAGTATTAGAAACACGCCTCTTTTTTTCTTTTTTTTTTTCAGTTGACTTATTCCTGTAAAGTCTGCAACTGTGTGGTCTGTTCTGAATCCGAAAAAAAATGCTTCTGCTTTAAGCTTGCTAACAGTAAAAGAAGAGTTAGAATAATGGGCTGACACCAAAGGCATCCTATTCCTTTGTATTAGCCATTCTCAAAGCTCATACCAATTTGTTTTTAAAGACTATCAGATCCTCAATTTCCTCACCCGATATCCAAGGAGTAATAAAGAGTATCATTATTCATCTGTGTGGGACAGTTCAAAGATGGGCAGTGCAAAGAGGTGTAAGTTAACAACATTATATCAAGTGTATGATTAGGTGACAAGAATCACACATAGACCCCAAGCAGACATTCAAAGCATGCTACTCTGGGTACGGAACAAAGTAAGGGAAGGGCCTGACACAAGATTTACTTAGGGATTTTGGGACAACAGCTCCACACTTCACTGATATCCCATTGATGCCAACAGGTCACATTTTTCATTTAAAGGCTTGGTTCTTTTTGACAGAACACCACAAACAAACTTGTTACTCAGTCCCTGCCAATACGGAAGAGTTAATCTGAGTCCTTCATCTTCCCTCCCAACCTCTGCCAGCCTTTGCTCCCATTAGAAGTACAAAATCATTCATTGTATCACTAGGAAAACACACAAAACAAAACAAAAACCAAGCACACATACCAACAGCTGTAAACAAATCAGATTAAGCTAGCAAACTGAAACAGCCACATTGCATAAGGAACAGGAAGCAGGCAAAGTGCTCTGCTGACCTAGTAGTAATATTGCATTGCTAAGCACACTGGGAAATCTGGGAAAGTTTGGCTTAATCCTCCTCTCATTTCTTCCTAATCAGCTTTCTCCCCTCCCTCCCACTACTAATCAGTCCCAAGACTTAAAAAAGTTATTTGCATTGGTTCAGACAGATCCATTTAACCTAGGCAAATTATTTTAACAGGTTTTAATCTACTTACAAGCCATTTTCCCATGGAATATGGCAACATTCAATTCTCTTGTCCTAAAGAGACTGAAATTCAGTATACCACAACAAAAGAAAAAATACAGTGCAATCCTGACTGTCTGCTCCACATCTCTTCCACATTACCTTAACACTTCAGAATTCATCAAGCATTTATGCAGCAGAAGAGCTTCTGAGGCGGTGATATATCAGGCAGAAACTCGGTAAAATCCTGAACAGAAATCCAAGTAGTCTATATGAAGGCAAAATTAACTAGTACCAGGCCTCACAAATACATTAATTTTCATTAGATGATTTTCCCTAACCGGGAAAACACTGTTGCAGCATTACTGTAAAAAAGTGTACCAGAAGGAAGGAAGGAAGGAAGGAAGGAAGGAAGGATTGTATGCAAACAAGTATCAAGCAATCAGTTATGATTACAGATGTGCCGGCTTTTCTTTTTTAACCTAGCCCTAAGAATAAATTTTTATAAAGTTCACTAATACCAGTTCATATAGATAAGGTAATGGAAGTGATGTCTGGAATATAGCATTAATCTACCAGAAATTAAAAACCAGCATATTAAAACACATTGCTTAATTCTTAAGTTCAGTACCTTACCCTGCCTCCACATAAGTCGGCAAGAAAATGTCCAACTGTTATTTTCTGATCTAGTGCCAGAACAAAGGCATGTGATTTTTCTGGGCCAATTTCACCTTTTTCATTATGACCTTTATTCAACAAGCTGTTCATATCATCAGAAGAGAGTATAATTTTTCTATAACTTGTTCCTAATAAAATTTCCATGCTATTAATCATTTATGTGTGAGGCAGTCCATCCCTTTTTAGGGTCTTTCTTTGTATTTTTCCAAAATAAACTGAGGGCTAGTACACTTAAGTCCAAAGAGATTTCTGTAGACAGTCACCTAACAGACTCCAGATTTGAGGGCATGTAAAGGATTAAGTTGAGCCTATAAATTAACATCTAAAGACAGACAACTATTCCAACATGTCCATTTCCAATCCCAATATAATGAAGCTTCCTGCAAAGCTACTTTCCCACTCTGGCTAAAGTTGGCATTTTAAAAACTCTGCTAGTAACCAGGGCACAGAACTGACAAAGTTGTCTTCACATAAATAAGCAAGATACTGGCAAAGGTATTTATTCATGCACTGTACATGCAGAATGGTATGTAGTAAAATTGGGCTTGCATCTGGGAAAGCTAAATGCCCCATAAATGAGAAAACTGCATGTGGCTGAAAGAGGTAGTTGCAGCCTTCTCATCATTTCAGAACTAGGAAACACATTTACCTCCAAAACCAGACACAGCACAGAAAGAACTGGGTCTTGATACAACAGTTTTATGAAGCTTATCTACTTTTATGAAGCTTGTCTACACATGCGTGTCATAGAATTCTTCAGCAACCTAGTAAATATTACAGTCCTACAGGCTTAGGTTTGCATATTAAATGGCTTGGAAACATGAACTCAAGGTTGAAAGAAGCTAAGTCTCACCAGGGTGCTCAGGCTGCCTAGCACTTTATAAGATGAAGCTAACATATGGCTTGCCCTGCTGCTGATTCACAGCATGGCATTCAGTCCTCACAAATGTGAACAGTTCAGCAAGGATCAGCTACGAGCTTCAAGAAATAGAAGATACTAGTCAAAACTCTGCTGTAAAACAGCAAAAGCAGCTATAGTAGGATGGTTGTTTCAGTAGGGAAAGAATCTCTTCAGTTTCCTGGAAAACAATTACTAACAGCAGAGCATCCAAACATTTATGCCCCCTTGTAGTACTCAAATCTCCAGATCCTGCTTAGTGCAACATAAACTCGCTTCCAGGCGTGGTGACAACTTCATCACCAGTATTAAAAACAACTCCCATGGCTTTGTAAATACATTAGTTCTCATGTGATAATGCTCTGCTTACCTCTGTTAGCAGCATATGGTGAATATGCCTCGGGAAGTGCAAAGGTATAGGGTGCAAAATTACAATGAGCATTGAACAGTAATATATACAGTGCTTCAGAGAAGCCAGTGCTGACAACTGTAACTTACTGCGTTTTTTCCTATACAGTGGAACTTAAAGTTTACAAAAATGCTAACTTAAAATGTATTGTTTCGTGAGGTTTTGGGAAAAATATTTTATAATTTGAAAAGATAACGCAATTGTTCCCTCAGATGTGAAAAGAAAGCAATTAAAAGAAAAACTATCAGTGTTTACTTGTTAGTTTAGCAAGAACTAATTGAAGAAGTCTGAACACTTGGGGTTAGCTATGCAACATAATAATAAAATCCATGTGTGCCCTAGAGACCTTGACACCTAGCTACAGCCTAGGGTAGTCAATACACAGGAAGATGAAACAAGCAGTACTGCAGAAAAAATAAAGTCATGAGATTTCATGAATATGGGAAGAGAAGTAACACTGGTGTTAATCACCACCTAAAATAGTCCTGGACAGATTCAAGCTGTCCTGATATCCATGTAATATGGTGCAGATTACCCAAGACTATTCCATAATTGTAAAGCATTTCCTTGGAAGTCTGGACATAAAGAGGCAGTGAGCCCCAGAGGCTGTTGCAGCTTTGCCCCCCTGTGACGCTGGAATCACAAGACGACTGTTCATAGGGACAAATATGCTGAACAGAACTACACTTCACAATTCCCATGCTGTTCTCTCTCTGGATATACTGGTAAAGGCAACATAATTTCTTTTTATTCCTCTTTTGCCATCACTGCTCTAGTACCTAGACAGGTTTGTCAGGAATCATGAGATGAAACCTCTTTCCAATGACAAAATACTGCATCTTATTTTCCTCTAACCTACTTAACTGTTTATCCCTTGTAATAGTCAGTAGAGACACAACAGTCTCTTGAGTTTCCAAATGGCATTTTATTTCAAGTGGAGATCGCAGCTGAGCCAGTTCTATAGTGTGATGGAGAACTGGAGATGATGGCAAAGCTCTGAAAATAGTTCGCTATGGCAGTGGGAAATCAGAAATGTGAACTGGGCACACTTTGCTCATACATCACTGCAAAAGCCTCAGCATGCAATTGAAGTAAATGAAGTTTTCTATCAGCTTCTGCTTGCTGCATTGCCTATTCTCAGGTAATAAGATGTCCAGAACAATGAATTCATCATTCACAGAACTCAAGACAGCAGTAATGCCAGATGCATTATCAGGGCTTGCTTGCGAGGAAGGACTACGGGAATAAATTCTGTAAGGCGGATTTCCTCTGTAAGACCACTAAAGTGGTAACTACCTCAGGGAACCATAGCACAGATGAGAGAACTACAGCAGGAAGTACAATATGTACTCACACGGATGTGGTTTATTTGATGAAGACATATAAAAATGCTTCACTGTAATTACACACATAGGCTTGCCAGATCAATCAAACCTTACACCTCGAGCACAGCTCATACATTTGGTCCCTGTGACTTCTCCTTAATTGCAGCATCATACACTGCATCTGCCTTGTAGCACTGCAGTCTCTTTTTCACTACAGAACTCCATGTGCAAAATAGTCACCACCCCAGTACATCTGGTGTGGGCCCCCAAAGGGGCGAGAACACTGTCCTGGTCCTGCACAGCAACTAGGGGCTTGTCACACATTAAGGGCTTTGCACCCAAAGGCAATCTGCTAGCAGTATATCACACAGCTGCAGCCCAGTGTTACCAGCTCTTCCACATGAACTGGCTCCAGGTGCCTAGGCAGCATATCCACTGCTACACACTGTGATACCATGCTCAAGATCCCACCTTCCACTCCTGGAACAAAAGCAGTTTCAAGTCATTCCAAAGTCACTCCATCTACTTCCTTTTACTAAAGCCCATCCCAATGAACACCCATTCCAACAACTGCCCTACTCTTATAAAAAAAAGTTAGAGGCATGCAAAATGAAGCTCTGCTTAAATACATGCAAGTGTGAAAAGTCAGGTTCCCAGCACCTAGCAGAAAGCTATAGCTTAAAAACTGAAGGGGGGGAGGGAGGAATGTTCAAAAATGTTCCTACTTTTCCAAGTGTTTTAAAAAGCTCTGTGGAAATTTCTCTTTCTCACATTGCTTTCAAAGGCACTGATCCAAGTGTTTAGAGCGGCTTAAGCTGTCAACTTGCAAGCTTACTGCTGCTCTGTACAGAAAGCAGTGTTTTGGGACAAATATATGCATGTATCCACATGGATAATTAACAGCATGCAGTTGGTACTAATTGCTATTCCCCTGAGACTTTGCATTGCATCTATTCAGAATCATCAACTATTGTTATCTCATCATGAGCTACAGTGGCTTGAATTACAGGAAAATCGGAGTTTTCATCACAAGGAACACTAAACTTCTAGTAAGCTACCCCAGAAAATCTTTTTTTCATTACTGTGGACTGGTATAACCCACTGGTGTTTTGTCTGACTGCCACAACTGTGATTCCAGTAATTTTTACAGTCATTGCCTCAAAGTAGGTCAGTAACTGTATTTCCTATTTTATGGGTAAGGAAATTAGAGCAGGGGATGACAATGACTTTGCAAAGACAAATTTTAAGTCAGGAAATTAAAAATATTCAGAACCTGCCTTCTCAATACTCTCAACTTTTACACTATTAAGTCTTGCCCTGTCTCAAAATGAAAAAAGTTGGTAGCAAGTACTTCCTAACATACTGCTGTTGAGGCCAGACAACGTATCTCCTACGAACACAAACAATCATCGGCAAAAGTTGTTCTTTCAGGTTGTGATTAGACAGCAAAGAAATATTAGATATAGATTTCTCTTAACTCTCCATTGATGTTCAGTCTGCAATTCACCATTACACTTCTCTTTCTACAGCAAGTGCAATCATATAGCATGTGCCTCTCAAAAATTAATTGTTAATTCAGTTGGAAAGTGTGTCTTCCTTTGAAATATTCATAAATGGCTCCTGGAAACCATAAACTGATATTTGCAAAGCTCTGTAAAATTAGTCAGAAATCAATGTTAGCCTGTTGGCTAACATTCTCTTGGGAATTAACCACTATATATGGCTGAATTAAATATTTATCTTCATTTTTATTTCAGAAAAAGTCAGAATTTTGTCCCGATTTCAGTGTATTCTTTTAGGTCTATACAAAAATAAAGACTTTTTAAAGCATTACAAAAAGTTTCTGGTTTTTTTTTTTCTGCTTACACAATTAATATGATACACTTAATGCTTTCTTCTTACTGCAATGACATTTTTGTGCCACTACAGGATTCTGAGAACATAAAGCCAAACTGAAGTCACAAGACACAGTGTTTCCCAAAGACTTAAATAGCAGAAGCAGCACCATGAAGAACACTAAATGTTGAGTGTCATTGGTAAAGTCCCCAACACTGACCAGTAGATCAGTGGTAGTGCAGGGTGCCCTCTTCCACATCCTTACAAAGCTTGACTTTAAATAACTACTATGCACCTCCCATCTCAAAATGGCATCAAACTGTGATGATGTATTTCAAGGAACACATCCAATATTCACAAGTGACCTAATATTTGGATCAGACTAAAGGAGGAAATGTGCAGGAAGAAAGTGGCCAAGAAGTGCTGGGAATAAGAAGTAAACTCAGTAGGACTGCAAAGTACAGATGGGTAAATGCGCTGAGACACTGAGAAAAAAAGAGGACATGTAGTAACTGCAGGGCAACAGAAGCGGAGAAGGCTAAACACCAAGATGAAAAGGAAGAGGCAAACAGAAGCAAACAAAGCATTTTTTCACAAATTACAGGCCAGAGTAACCACTTCCTAAAATGCCATCCTAAAAAGGCATCAACAGAGGAAAGGGGCACGCAGTCCACAAACTGGACACTTCGTAATCAAACCATATTTATCCTCTGATTTCCTTCTTTCATCCATTTCAATCCTACCCGTTCTTTGGTCTCGGATTCCTACAATCCAACACGCCCACACTCTTGCCACTCTTAAAGCTCAGCGACTCTACCAAAATGCGCATCACTGATTTTCAGTGCTGATTCCATGTCACCTCTCCAGACCCTGGATGCGCACTGTATTGTCTTCTGAGTATGTGTTGTAAGGCTCTGATTGCTCTGCATTTGCACACAACACAGGACATGAAAACTCTGAAGCACTCCAAATCTTTCGGGTGTGGGTAGCGATATCCTGGACAGACGTCTCTTCCAAGTCATGTTACCAATACCCAAAAGCACAATCCCACCAATGGACATACACTTGCAACAGTTTTATAGCTCAACTAATTCTTGATAACCTAAGAATTGGGCACTGAAGTCTTCCAGTAAATTCTTCTTCTTCTCACCTCTCCTTGTCCTTTGATTTACTTGTATAAGAATAAAAATGCTGTTGTTTCTAAGGAACCCAGGTATTTAACTTACATAAATACCTGCAAAAAATAGTCTATGAGATAGTATACATCTCTAAAGACCTAGACAGGGTATTTTGAAATACCTAGTTCTTAGCTTCACTGAAAAATCACTCAGGTTTACAATAATATTTTTCAGAGCATTAGATATAATTTACCTTACAAGTTTTACTTTCAAAGGGATTTAGTCCTCTAGGTCATGTAAATACTTCAGAAAGTGGTTTGGGTTTTTTTTTCCCCTCTGCTCCTGCTCCTGTATTTTTCACACTGACTACTTCAGGTACTCGGCTTCAGTACGACTTAGAGTGTACACATTCTTGGTAACCAACAGACATAGACAGTTCCTTCCAAATGGTGAGTCATAGCATCTAAGTTAAATGCCTGAAGTCAGTACTAATACTTATCTGTGTATTGTGTCTACATTCAGACAAGCAATTTTGTCAAGGCTGGCCTTCCAGTGTATGGGAAGGTAAGGACATATCACAATTTTTCTTTCATTAATTGTTTGGAGACAGACAAAAAAATAAGATTTTTTCCATGCATGACTCTTCTGAATGTCAAGGCAGAAAGGGCTGAGATATCAGACCAAAAACACCTGTGCAACTCATCTTAACCGCAAGAGGTACAGGTACTTGGCAACCTCCATGTAAATAAGAGTATCATACTAGCAATTTATCTTCTCCACATCGAACAAAAGAAATACAAATGACAAATTACCTGAGCACCATAGACTCGTTGCATTGCCTGAAGCAACTGGTTTGTATATTCAGTAAGGGTTCCTGCATCTTCTTCAAATACACTGAGCAAAGACCGAGTCTTCAACAAAACAAAGAAAGCAAATGATTTTAGTCCTGAGTGAAAATATTAAAAAGAATCATAAACAATTGTACATAGATGGTAGCAAAAAAAATACAAATCAAACAGAAATAGTAAGTCTTTAAAACTTTGCATAATTCTGTTCATTCAGAATCTCAAAATATGTAGAAATTATTCCTTCTATTATGGATAAACTGAAGCATAAGGAAGCAAAGTGATAAAACGCTCCAGCCAAATCCTGACTCCCAGTTTGCTTCTCCAGTTAATAGCCATTCCTTCCAACAAAATTAGGAGTGTAAAAAAATCCTGAATATCTACCTGCTGACTATAGAAATACAAACCACGTTAAGGACTCTGGGTCAAACACCACTGCTTGCTCACTTTACTTCTCTAATGTCAGAGTGCATTAAAAGCACCCCTTTCCATGAGATAATTTACACAGTATTATTCACTCTCAACTGTCTTGAGCAACTCTTAAAGGGACACTGCCAAACCTAGCTGATGTAATTGGCCCAAACAACTGCATGTTTCTCTGAACAACAGGTGCAGAAGCATACACCCGTTCAGGGATACCCCGCACTTTCTCCATTCTGCTAGCTCATCCTTGTCAGCAAACAGCAGGGAAAAAGAGCATAATGACTTGTGTATCTTCAAGACATGAATTCCCTTCATTTTTTTTTTTTGGTGGAATCATCAGGAACAAAGAATTATGTTAGTGACACGGCTCTTGAGATGGGAAACAAATCAGAATAATGACGAGTGCCAGAACTTGCTAGATCATTACAATAATGAAAGAGGGAAGGCTGTCTCTTTAACAAGGTCATGATCCATCCTTAGTCTTAACTTTAGTTAATCCGATCTATTTGATGCTAACTAGTGATGTCTTTCCAGCTGTACAGCTAACTTGTATGACATTAATCAGTTTCATCTGCTTATGTGAGGGGCACACAAAATCCAGTACTTTCATAATCACATTAGTCCTGTCACAGAGCAAGTGCTTTATCTATCCTACTATTACAGGAATCTCTAATGTACCTGCAGCATCCAAGTTCAAATCTGGGAAATTTATTTCCAAGATTTAAGACAGCTTAAAACAGCAGGGGAACTTTAACAGAAGGCATATGTACTTCCCCAAGCCATTTATTCTTCCTGCAAAACTCTGCCCAGACTTTATATTTGTCCTGAAAAACTCAAAGCATCCTTCAAAAAATCCTGGCCTATGATTAACTATCATTTTGTCTCTGCCAAGAAGGATCTAAGCTAAGAGATGAGTGTTGCTCAGCAGTTAAAAGTCATGACTTGGGAGTCAGCCATTGGGTTCTGTTCTAGACACTGCACGCGAGTACTTCCATACTTTTGAGTAACTCTAAAGCTCTCAACATTTCAGTCTGCTAACATGTTATGCTGCTACAATACTTCCTACCTTAGAAACACTGGCAGTCAGTGCATTTGGGAGACTAGTCTGAGATCTTAGCATACAAAGAGATATGTAATATGAAGTACTGTTTTCAAATAAAGAGAATGTAAAGAATGAAGAATGGACAGAAGGCCAAGTCAATGAAATGGATACTAAGAACCCACTTACAAGGGACCTTTGTGCAGAACACATGGACAGTGGCATGATTTTGAGAGTTTTCCACACTAAGCCATTATTTCAGTAATTAAAAACATATTGCTTTTAAAAAATACCTGGGTTTAAATATTTTACCTTCAATGATGAATTAAAACAAGGAAAACTAATGTCAACAAATTATCTTCCATCTTGACAGTGCTCATCTGCCTTGTTTTGCGTTACAACAGTACATAAAATGCATTGGGTATGAAGATGGTTAAAAAAATAAATTTAGGCAAGGCAAAACCGATAAAACTCAACACACTGTTTACCAACATAAACCTCAAGTCAAAGCTAAAAAGTTATAAAGGAATTGTCCAAAGTAGGGTACAAATCACACATTTCTGCATGCTGGTTTCCAAACACAGGAATGACAACTAAATTCTTAAATCTCACTTTTTGCACATTCAGTTCTTCAGATGTCTAAATATGGATTAAGGTAGAAGAACTCTGGGAAATAATTTCTGAAAGTCTTGGCCTCAGTTATTAGTACATTGCTCAAAAATAATAAAAACAATTAATGATTCAAGTAGTTTGGAAGTTATTCTTGGAAATTTTTCCATTTAAGAACACCATTTCAAATTACTGCAAGAAAATACCAGCACATGTATATTTCAGTTGTTGCTGTTTTGAGAAATTCTGGAATAGCAGCTAATGCTGCTGAAATAAACCAGTAGTCAAAATATTAAGCTAACATTTAGGAGGCCTCATTAATAGCATCATTATTCTCAGCTTCTTGCAGCACAGGAAAAAGTTTCTGCTGTCATGGAAGTACTTCTCTTGGTTTTAGCATGACTGCTTACATAAATTTCTCTTCTATTTTGTGGCCAAACACTTCAAAATAAAGGCGCTTCTTATGGCCTTTTTCAAACAGTGTTTGGAGATAAATCAAGGCAAAAGTACTATGTTGTTAGGGAGAGAGAAATCAAATTTCAGAAAGCTGATGAAGAAATAACTTTGGCCTAATTCTCTTCTGACTTGCATGTAATTCACATACTTCACATTGTTTACACAAAGTGAGGTTATATCCTTGTTTTACCATCCCTTTGCAATCCTGTGACTGTACAGAGCAGAGGAGAATCAGGTCACTTCACATAGAAGTAATCCCACAAGCTGCTATGCTGTAATTTCTGTGGGACAGAGACTTCCTTTCTGCTTTCATTTCGTAGCACCCAGGCCACAGAGAGACCCTTTGCATTGTGTATGTAAAGCTCTCCCCAATAAAAAAGTAATACAAATATAAAAGACCGAGGAAAATACTACCCCATAAATAAATAAATAGATTTTAGCAACACTGGGCCAGTATAAAAATTAAACAACACCCCTCCCTTCCAAAGTTGCAGGACTTTAACAAAAAGTAATGAACAAATCAAATCAAAACATCCTTCAAATATTCAGGTTTATACAGAGCCTGGTATTTCTAGTAATTACAAAGGAGATGTTAACAATCCTAATTTCAGGTCAGAAGAAAGATGAAGACCTCCAGGTTCAATTCAGTGCATTGTTCAGCTGCTGTCAGCCAGTGTTACATTTTTAATCATTGAAGGAAGTGTTGACTGAAGAGGTGCAGGAGTTCACTTATCCTGTGTGTCAAGTTCTTCAGCTCCAGAATGCAGTGGAGAGGTTATTAACTAAAAAAGTTAATAACCTCTCTTAATAATGTTATCTAGCACATTTTGGTAAGCTGGAACACAGAGCAATTCAGGCTGGCAGGGAACTCTGCAGGTCACCTTGTCCAAACCCCTGCTCAAAGCAGGGCTGTCTGACATTACATCAGGTTACTCACACTTTTTCTTTTTGAAAATCTCCAAGGATGATTCCACATACACAATATCAAACAGAGGATGAAAACTGTTCTTACAACGATGGGACTTCACAGAAACGTAGAAAATCAGGATAAGAAGAGGTGATCAAGATGAGCCCAAACACTCATTAAGTCCTGACAGGTCCATGTCCAATGTTTCCTTCAAAATGACTCATGATGGACTTCGTAACACCTTTCAGCAATCTGCTGTGCATCTTACCTATTCATTCCTCCTCATCATCCATCATCAGATGAGTTAGGATTACAACACAGGGCTACTTGGGAGCTACTACCCTGTCCTCCCTTCTTCCTTCCCTGCATCGCCAATTTTGTATTTCTGTCTGCACTATGTCTTCAAGCGCGCCTCTCCCATCTTTCTGTGCAATTTCCACTCTTGCCTTTTCCCCTTCCTTCTCTATTCCACCCCGACTTCCCTCCTTCCACACTCCTTTCCCAGCTCTTGAGGCCTCATACCTCTCTGCCCCCTCAATACATCCTGACACGGCGTGTTCTTCACTGCAGCTACGGGGCATCCACTGTCCTCTTCTGGGGTCTCTGCAGCTGTGTCAGGGGTCTGTTCTGCAGCTGTGTCAGATCATGATTCCAAGCGATGGGGCATGGGACGCTACACGGGGCTAGGTGCAGGTGAGAAAGGTCCTCCCTGCCTGCAGTGAGGAAGGAAAGGCTGGCAACCGCCTCTCCTCGTTTCTCAGACTCCTTCAGGAGGTCATCTTTAATGGGATCCACCTCATCTATCCTCATGGGAAGCCCCTGTATCTGAACTACCTCCTTTGGGAGCGAGGAGGAGTACACACACTGGTGGTGACATTCCTTCAGCCCACGTCTGTCATCAAGGCCAGGTGACTCACAGAACAGAAGCCACCCTTTCCCTCGGGGACTTCGGAGGAAGCCAGGGCTGCGAGCCATGCCCACCTATCTTTCCGCAGCACACCTCACCTCTTCAAGGCAACTCTTACAGCTACCCAAGACACTGGCACATGAGGAAACAGCCAAAGGAGGAGTTTCTCTAAGAGAGGCGAGGACAAAGGGTGCTGTGCCCCGACCTCCTCACACCATGCCCCTGCGCTGGGGTACAGCTGGACTCCCCGGAGGCCCCCAGCAGCAGACACAGCTTGTATTTCCCTTGGAGATGCTCAGTAGGAGAGGAAAGCCCTCCCCCGACGCCACACGGGTGCTGTTTACCTGCTCCACAGCATCCCGACAGGCGAAATCACCCTGACCCACTTCGCCGCCGGCCCGGAGCCCGCCCTCCTGCACCGCCTGTCGACACCCCGCTCCCCGACCCTCCCGGGGTGTCACCCCTCCGATGCCCCGGCCGGACCCAGCGGGCTGTGCCCCCCGCCCGGCCTCGCCCCTGGCAGCGGGCCGCTACCTGCGGGCTGTCCTGCAAAGCCTCCTCCAGGAGGAGTTTGTCGACGGCGGGCATGTTGTCGCTGACGGCGCAGCCGGCGCTGGGAGCAGGGTGCGCGGCGGACGCCCTCTGGCACGCCCCGGCGGCGGGGCTCGGCGGCGTCCCTCCTCCACGGGCAACGGGGCACGGCGGCAGGGTGGCTCCGCTGGCGGGGTGGGGGCAGCTCACTCCTCCCAGTTCCCGTCGGCCAGAGGAAGCGAGTCACGGGGAAGGCCGGCAGCGGGAGGGAGCGTGGCGGGCGGGGGGAGGCTTCCTGCCGCCATTAGCGCCTCGGGCCTGGCCGGTGTCGCGGCGGCCTCACCGTGGGGACGGAGGTCCCTTGTGGAGGCTGCACCAGCCCCTCTTTCTCAAGGACTGGAATGACCTGCAGCAGCCGTGCGCTTGCCTCCGTCCACGGGACAGTAGACTGATGGGAAGCGGGGTGCAGCTGGAGCTGTGGGATCCCCCCTCAGCTGAGGGAGATCTCCCTGAGTGTGGGATGTGGTGGAAACGAGGGGAAGATCACATCTTTCAGCCTAGGCTTGTGAGCAGTCCTCATTTGTGGCATCTGCATTCGTTCTTTACTGACAGTTCCACAATGGGAACTGCGGGGCCGTAGAATGCCCCAGGCAGGTCAATCCCCACTCAGCCATATCCCTACGCTTGGGGGGCTAGGAGGGACGCATTTTGGGTTACTGGTGCTTCATGTTTTTATTACCGTCTCGCTGGTGTCTTAATTGTGTCAGATAAGTTCAGCATTTGGACATTAATTCAGAGGCTTAGTTGAAGAAGGGTAATGTTTTCAAAGTGAGTAGAGTCTTGCTTGAGGCAGGAGTACTTCATTATGTTCACCTCTTTGAAGGGTGGCTGCTGCTTTTGGATGCCTGTTTCTGTAAAAGTCCAGATTTACTGATCTTCAGATCAGTCGCTCTGTGCTTGTTGGCTGTAGCTTTTGTTGTTCCAGTATGGCTTGAGACTAAAATGGAGATACTCAAAACTAGAATCCCATTTAAGAAAGAAAAACAACATTTCTGGAAAGTTTAGGAAGAATCCTGATAACAGAATAGGCAGAGAAAAATACGAGGTGTAAAATGGTAAGGTGTTCCTGCCTTCAAAGCGATTTCAGTCTTCAGATACCTCAAGTTGCTGCCCTCTTTTAAAAGAAGAAAAAGAGTTTACAGCTTGGGTTGTAAAAGAACCCCAAACATTAACATGGGTCTGCTTTGCCATTATGGTCGGTGCCTGCTTTGTGCATCTAAATTCCGGTGGATATTTCCACTTCTGATATTCGTCAGCATTAGTGAACATTCTGTATGGCAAGAAAGGTGATTTGCTAATACAGCTTTTACTTTTTTCTCTTTGGGAGGCCTTAGGAAAGTTTTTCAGATCAGCTGGATGATTATTTGCTTTAATTATGTGTAAGAAATGACCGCTGAACCCTGTAATTTGGGCTAAGATATTTCTGTGTGTCTGACATTGATTGGTATTGCTTCTGAAGCTCGTGAGAGGACCTTTAACCCAATGTGCCAAGCCTGCCTTGGTATGATTCTGCTCCACTGGTCCCAAAGCTGGACTCCCTGTTCCATTCCCTTGAGTCCGAACAGAGTTCTCACGTTCAGTCCACTTTTCCTGCCTGAATAAAGACACTGAACCATAATAAAAATCACCAGCTAATACCGAAAATGCCAAGTATGACAGTATATATTTATGTAATAAGAAAACAAAAATAAATACGGCTTTTTCATAATAATGTTTTTTTTCAAAGAATTTTGGAATGGGAAAGAGATCAAGGACTTTTTTTCCTACAAAATATGAAATAAGGCACTAGTTGGCCATTAGACTCCAGAATCCATGACTGTTTCTGAGCCAGTTTTGTCAATCTGTGTAAAAGTCTTGTTTTTCTTTCTTCAGAGATTTTGAAAACATTATTTGAAATTCACTGTGGAAGAGAAGACCATGCTTTGCCAGATTTCTGCTATCTGTTAAAGTAGCTTCAGGGCATTTTTGAATACTTCCCAAATACTTCTGTTCCAAGTCTGCCCTTGTCTTTCCCCCTCTAGTTCTGAAATAGTTCAGCAAAAGCTCTTCCCCATTGGGTTGAAGTATTTCCTTCACCAAGAAAACATTGGTAGTTTGTGTTTTTATTTTGCATTGTCATCCTTCCCAAGGGCTACAACATTTAAGGTCTTATCTTGCTGACTTTTGATGACTTTGTTTAGTCTAAGGTTCAACTGTGGAAGCCTGTTGTCATTCCAAACTTGAGGATGGCTATTTCCAGAACAGGTTCTACTAGTTCTATTTAAATAAAACAAAAAGCACTTCAGTAACTACTGAAAGGTGACACTGTCATTCTTTTATGTATCATTTGTTACAGAGCTATAAACTTGGTGGATTGTTTATTTACAGTGATCAAGCATTTTTATTGAACTTTCCCCATACAACCCAAGTGGGTTTTAATTTAAAAAATAAAAATAAAAATCTTGCCTTTTAATATTTGAAATTACCTTTTCCTTGGATTATTGATAATTGCAATTAATTTTCCAGTCACCTGGTTCTGTCAGGTCTCAAGAATTATTCTGTCTTGGTAACTCCAAACAATATTTCTAAAATAATTAAAATCACAGAATCACAGAATGGTTTGGGTTGGAAGGGATCTTAAAGCTGATCCAGTTCCAACCCCCTGCCATGGACAGGGACACCTTCCATTAGAGCAGGTTGCTCCAAGCACCGTCCAACCTGACTTTGAGCACTGACAGATACGGGGCAGCCACAGCTTCTCTGGGCAACCTGTGCTAGTGTCTTCAGCTCCTGTCTTCTAAATCCAGGTGCTGAATGCAGTACTCTGTTGCTACAAAAAGCCTTGCTAGTGAAAAACATTCTCATAGCTGTTCTTCAAAGTCAAATCTAATGGCAACATTATATATATGGAAAGAGAATGAGGAAGCAGCAGGCACAGTTTCTAGAATCAATCACCTGAATGTTCAAAAACCTTGTCATAGCAGTATGAACTGAGCTGAAGAATACTTCCAGTAAGCAGGCCAATTAATTTTTTTGTGTGTTCTGTAACCTACAGATGATTATGTTAACATAAATGCCACTTAGAATGTGAAAATGTAAGGTAAAACCCCTGGAATGGCCAAAATGAAATTGATACATGCTGCTTATAAAATTAATTAGAATTAACAGTGTCAAATGAAATTAATACATAGTTGAGTGTTGAGTATGAGGTAATCAATTATGTGAACTAATTGTGCTGTTTCTAAGAAAATATGGTGCTTCCTTCCAGCAAAAGCCTGAAGGTAGCCCAAAAATCTCAGAGAGAGTGAACAATTTTAAAGGAAAGAAGAAGAAAGTTTGGATTGATCTGTAAGCTCAAGATTTGTCTGTTGCCTGAATATCTTGGCAAAATGATGTAAAATCTTCCAGTAGAACTGCAGTTTTGTAGAAATTGGTGCATCTTCAAACTTGAATTTGGGGTTTTACGTGCGAGAGTCTTGTTCCTGTTCAAGGCTGGTCAGGAGTATCTGTTGGTGACCAGCTGGTCGAGTATGGTTCTCCCCAGACTGCCTTTGCTTATGTGACAGAAGGGACCACAGCATGAAATGGCAGCTGGGGACTGTGCTTGCTGCAGGATGGGAGGTACTCAATGCCATTCTTCCAGGTTTGCCCAAGTGCTTTTTCACCCAACTCCCCCGCACTAGCTTGGGGCTGGAAGCAGCACTGCTGAACCTGGATGCTGCTGGGTGTGAGTGAATAAGCCCTGCCAGCTTTAATTGGCCTGTTTGAAAACAAGGCAGCTGTTGTGCATCCTTAGCATAATTCATTTCCAAATTTGATAATCCACCCAGTATTAATGGGGAGCTGACTATAATTATTTTTTTCTGGTTAGACTAGTTACAGAGTAAGTCATGTTGCATTGTGTTTGCTTTCTCATATGTTCCATTCTAACTTTAAAGAACATATTGCGTTATACTTCCTTTTTGGCTTCATACCTTATACTTTACAAGAAATTTCTGAGCAGTGGTGTGCTAGTCACATGTTTGCTAAGTCAGCTGAGTCTATTTATGCATTTAACACAGTGTCTAATATTCTTCTTTGTGCCCAGTAACAAAGAAACCCTTGAACTACAGATGACTTTTAGAGGTATAATAACCTACCCTAAGTTATGTGGCCATCCTGCATAAATATAAGAGGGTATATTAAATGATAGTAGCAATAAATTGCGTCAAATTAATTATTTACAAGTGAAAGGTTTGAAAAGGCTCTCACTACTCTCAGTACCAGAAGCATCCCAAAACAGTTTCTTAATAGGATCTGAATAACTTACCGACTAAATTAATAACAGTGCATCTAATATACAGGAGAAATCTTGGACACAAAAGGAATATCTTGTGATTTTGTGTATAACCCACAAGCTAATAACTAGGCTGAAATAAAATTCCACTGAAATTATTAATTGCCCTGTAACCAAGATATCATGCTCTTTGTTTTAACGTAAAACACATGGCTTTGTTTATTTCCATTAAACACATTAGTAATATGCCAAAATGGATATGCACAGATGTATTGTCTAGTGGGATGGATTGAATTAAAACCTCTTTGAAGGTGAAGAGTGCAACTGCTGTCTTTAATTTCAAGTAATTTAAGGACAATTAAGTTCCCGCATGTAACCAAGTAGAGCAGCAGCTTCCATCCAAATCCAGAATAAGAATCTGGTTTCAAAAGCCAGAGTTTCTGTTGACAGTACTACTGGAGATACTGCGAGCACTTCCTCCAAGCCTACCTCTGCCCTGCGTGTGGCCTTCGGTGGTGTTGGCATGACTGTTTGGGAGCCTGCCTGGTGAAGGGCATCTGATTTAACAGTTTGTATTTGCTTTTCAAAGAACAGGAGCTAGTAGTATTACCTTTTGTCCACAGTTTTTGCAGTGCTTGTGCAAATACGAACATACAGGCTCCTTTCTCCTTTTAGCTGTGCTTCTTGTAATGTATGTTGCTCTCTAACCTAGCAGACACTTCTGTTCAGGTGATGGTCCAGTGGAGTTCAGGGATATCTGAAGTATAGTGAAAAATCGTACTGTGAAATTCAACAAGTGACAGAAACAAGTGGTTTGTCAAAGAAATGCATACGTGGTATGATTCTGTAGATTGAAATGAGACATCTAATGCCTGGCATATAATTGTTTTATGAAATGCTGATAAGT